GGGTTCTAGATTATTTCACTACTTTTACCTCGTTATTCAGAAACTCGTTGACGATTAGAAAACTACCGGTGGTGCTTCCAGCGTAGCCATTCGCTGGTAACACTACCTCTGGTTTTTTGTCAAAGCGCTGCTGCTTGACATACTCCCCACACTTTTATAGCGAGTTAAATTCAGAATGATTTTAATATCCTGATTTTCCGTTGCTGGCGGATATGCGCAGTGGGAAGTAGCACTGCCACCGTGAATTAAAAGGACCAACCCTGCCAGTAGGATGACCGACACCTCTTCGATTCCTTCATTCGTTTCGATGACAGACTGGCACTGGCATATGACAGAAGCCAACAGGACGTTAGCTTGCTTGTAACTTGTTTGCAGGGAAGCTAACGCTATGCTGTTAAGGGCGCCATCGATCTACCAGCTTGTTGTTGTTGTTCACCTTTACCACCACTCTGGCCACTTTCGAGTGCCTCTGCCTCCCATGGAGAACAAGTAATGAGAAAGTTTTGAATTTTGCTTTGGTTATCCGCTTAAAGTATGAGTAGCAGCCTATAAAAAAAAAAACTTTAAAATCTGTTCGCTAGAATTTGCGATTAAGGAAAAGTTTAGCAAAGAGGATCGGAATGAATGTGTTGCAGACATTCCTGACAAGTATCAGCGTATCTGCAATTGCAACAAACGGTGTCGTTGAGAGTGGTGGTGCCTATTTTATGATATCCCGTAACCTCGGTCCTGAATTCGGCTCGGCAGTTGGCATACTGTTTTATTTGGCAAATACTGTGGCCGCTGCTATGTATCTTGTTGGTGGTGTCGAAATATTGCTGGTTGGCTCATCGTTCCCTTTTCTTTCTTTTAGTAAAAGCTAGTGATACTGATAACCTTACTCACGCCAAATGAAAGCAGCCCAGCTCTTAAAGAAAACAAATTTATTGACTGTTAATTTTCACGGAATTTTGCAGCTTTTATCATGCAAATTTTAGCTTTATATATTCCCTGGCTTGACGATCGGTGGAACGGCAGTTCACTCAGACACAGGTAGTTTTGCTTTGCATTTCTGAAAGAGAATAGTTGTAGCAGTGCTCACTTTAACAACTATTAACCCATACAGTGGCGCACAGACTTACCGGTGCAATCATGTGTTTTTGCGTTAAACTTGAAGCATTCAGAGCATTAACAGCACGGATGATTCTTGTTTAATCATATTGGCTGTGTTTTGGCCTTATCTTCCATGCAGTGGAAAAAGAGCGTCGGCTAGAATAGTAGTGTTGCATCATGGGAGCGGGAATCTCCAGTGAGCATGATTATCAGGAGGAATAAATAGTTTCCGGCGGGCGGTCCCTTATTGGAAGTGCGAGTTTGACAGTGCGCAGGATGTCGGAAGAGAAAAACTGCGAACTCCGCAAAATGCACTAGCT